AATCCTCTAATGCAGTCTTCTCAATTCTGTATCAAAATAAGAAAACAACTTTGGGATTAGAATGCAAAACTTTTGACAACCTGGTTATGTTCTCCTGAGTCCTGATCCCCATACTGGTAAAATGGGAACATCAGCATCTGAATTTAATAGAAAAATTTCTGGCTTTGCCTTAAAAAAAAAAAAACACTGTAGAATTCCCTTTTAAACTTGCCCAGTTCCAGAAAATGTAACACATAAAAATTTTTATTTTTAAAAACAGAATAAAATTTATTTTATTTTTAAAAATAAAAATTCATTTTGCACCTACATCTTCCATACTGCATTCATTGCACAAAGCAATCCCACCTGCTCATTTTTAGTGCCAAGCTAACAATAGCATATTTTGTAGATTGAAGAGCAACTCTTGTCATTTATACAACTAAAAAAATAGTTATATAAGGAAAAAGGAAATGTTTTAAGGTTGGTACACTTAAATTTTTATTTTTGATTTTTCTTGGCCATCAAACATGCAGACTTTTCTTACTTAGTCGCTCACTCTTCTGCTCACTCTTCTGAGTCTAAATATCTAATGGAGATTCGGACTTTGTATTCTATTCATTGTCATCAAAAATCTGAAGGACAAGGTTGCCTTCAGCTCTTTATAGCATAACCTTCATATTGACAGTTAATAGGTACTATTAAAATCTCCCATAGGGTGGGAATTGGCAATTGCAGCAATAGACTTGGCTATTAGATTTCATCAAAAGGAGCCCAAGGGCAGCGTGGCCATGGAGGCTGGCACTGAAGGGGATGGACAGAGACCAGGAGGAAGAGACCTTGGTTTCCAGAAAGAACCATAGAAAGAACTCCAGGGAGTGGCTGCATCCACTGTCTGGTGCTTGAATCCTTACATAACTGCTCTGAGAAAGGGCTTCTGCTTGGATTTTCCAGGGATAAGGGAACAGGCTTTCTCCCAGAGTGATCTGTTCTATTTGGAACAGATCTGTCTTTGATAGAAAGTTCTTCCTTATGCCTAGCCAAAAATGAGCCATCTTGACTCTCCACATACTGATCCTAACTCTGCCTGATCTTTGAGGCCCCAAATAACAAGTCTAATGCATATGACAGCTTTTAAAGACAGTTTTTGTACTGCTCAAGTTGCCAGGTAGAACCTTCTCAGTGCTTTCAACCAGTCCTCATTTCGTTGGTTTCCTACCCTTTTTGACCCTGGTTCTGACCCCTGGATATACCACAGTTTTTCATTACTCCCTTTATAGCATGCTGTTTGGAACAGAACACAAAGTCTGGCAATTCTGAGTTATGTAACATCTACCTGTGATTCTCTCATGTCTTAATGCAATCTAGATTGTGTTGCTTTATTTGGCAACTTGGATTATATTATTGCCTTCTGTTGAGCTTATCATCAACTAGAACTCCCAAGCACAATTTTTTTTTTCTTTGTTCGATACGTATGCAGTTGCTAGGCCACATTTTCCATATCCTGCAGTGGCTTATTAGACCTTAGATCTATGGATTTCAGCTTCTTCTTAAGCAGTTTTCTTAGCAACATTCTGCTGTGGGTAACTTCAGTTTTTATATACAACATAAAGGAGCCTCATTAGACCGTTACAGATGTATCAAGCATCTGTACCAAGTAAGCAACAGAGTGGTTCCTCGGCTGTTAGGGAAGGATTGGGCAACTTATGAGTCCCTGTATTCATCCTTTCACCTTCAGTAATATATAGGTGTCAACCTAAAGGAAGAAGCTGAGACCCAAAACGTAATTTTTAACAGTTTCCTTGAACCAAAGTGAGGACAGGTGCCCAGGATACACTTCTAAGTTGCCTAGGGGAGTGCTTCCCTTGGCCTTTGTTAGCACAGGTTCTTAAAGGCAAAAGCAAACAAGGAGAGGACTGATACAAAGTTATTTGACAGGAATTCTCATCGGTTTGTCAAAATAACATGGATTAGTGATGGGCTGTACATTGTTGGACTATGTTGTTGGACTATAGGGTATGAGTTATGTCCAGTGTTAGCATTTTATGACTTAATGGTGTCAGTTAGTCTAGAACCCACATAGCAAGGGGCCTCAAGAGGTAATTATTTAACTCAAGGGGGGAATGAGAGGTGATTGCTATCACATTTTAGCGCCTCTCTGGACCTGATAATTTAAAGGGATTCCTCAGATAAAAAGTTTCTTTTCTTTCTCACAGGATTCACCCAGAAGGTTTTATCTTCAGATGCTTTTGGTATGTTGGAAGGGACTAGAAATTAGCAGCTTTTTCTTTTCTTCAGTAGAGGCAGGGTCTCACAATGGTGCCAGGCTGGTCTTGAACTCCTGAGACCATGCTGATCCTCCCACCTCAGCCTCCCAAAGTGCTGGGATTACAGATGTGAGCCACTGCACTAAGCTGCTGTTTGCATAATTATATTCAGTGACGCCTAGAATATTAGTGCTAGAAGGAACTGAGAGATGTTTTCGTTTATGCCGCCTGCCTTTTGCACATTTGAAAATGATTCAGAGGTAGTAAGCAAAGTGTTGACAGAGGCGGGCTTGGCGCCTGGGCCTCCTGACATACCTATAAACTGACTTACGAGCTTATGCCCATGTAGCAAGAGATTTCAATACTGGTGTTAAGATATTTCAGATATTTTTCCCCCTCGGCCTTCTAATGAGTTTAATTGCCCCAGAGCTGGATGGTGTCCTTGAATTCCTCTAGCTCATGTGTAAATGAAGCTCTCATAGATTTTTAGCTGAAGTGGCTCTGGCAGTGAAGCTAGGCAGGATCCTCTCAGGGATTTCCAGGTCCTTTGCTGGATTTTTGCCAGGTACTTCCCTTGCAAGATGCTTGAGGGTCCTTCCTACGTTGCAGTTGGTAAGAGATAATGAGGTCTCCCGTGGATCACTCTGGTGCCAGGCTGGCGTGTTTCCAAAGGAGTCCCCTGGGACTGGACCTAAGGGGAACCCTTGGCAGACCACTGTCCTCTGGCAGGTGGTGCTGGGTGTCTGGGCAGGATGGGGTACTGTGACATAATTGGAGGTCCTGTCTCTTCTCAAGGTAGCTGAGATAGAATGCCCAGGCTTAAGGTGGGCATCCAGCCACATGCCAGAGGACAGCCTCATGGGCAAACGGCTGTGCCAGTCTGCCAAGTGTTAGAAGGATTTTTTATTTGTAATTTTTAATATTAATGTACCATTTTTTTGTTACTTGGTTCTTGAAGAGCAGGAAGTTGACTCTTTCCCTGTGCTGTAATACTCTCTCATAGCAACTGGCACTCTATAGAGTGGATGTTTTCAGATTCAGATAGGGGCCAGGAGATAATGTTTTCTGCCTGGTACTACCTAGCTGTCGCAGGGCCGGTTACTTAGCATTGATTCTTCATCTTTAAAGTAAGGGGCTTGGAGTAGCCTGTGAAGGCTCATTTAGCAATGGTCTTTATGAGTCTAGGGGCCTGTACACAGCTCCCAAAACGTGTCCTTTTTGTATATCTTAAAGAAGCCCTTGTTCTTCTCTTTTGTGTAGTATTAATAGTATTGCTGAGTAAGTCCACCCAGGGAACACCACTCTCACATCCTCCCAACACATTGAAAGGGGAGTTTTCTTCTCTCATCATTTTAAAAATGAGCAAATCTCCGGCCGGGCACGGTGGCTCACGCCTGTAATCCCAGCACTTTGGGAGGCCGAGGCGGGTGGATCATGACGTCAAGAGATCGAGACCATCCCGATCAACATGGTAAAACCCCATCTCTACTAAAAATACAAAAAATTAGCTGGGCATGGTGGCGCCCACCTGTAGTCCCAGCTACTCAGGAGGCCGAGGCCGGAGAATTGCCTGAACCCAGGAGGCGGAGGTTGCGGTGAGCCGAGATCACGCCATCCATTGCACTCCAGCCTGGGTAACAAGAGCAAAACTCCGTCTCAAAAAAAAAAAAGAGCAAATCTATAGAAGTAAAAAGGAAGAAGAGTTATAGATGGGAGATACTGAGATGAGGGCCGAGGTGAGCACCCTTCAGCGTCCTGGTCTTCCTCTGAGCTGCTTTCAGCTGCTGTTTCTCAGCACTCAGGGTATAAAAGTTACTGGTGGCCACCAAAGAGTATAGGATTGGATGGTGCTCACAGCAGAGGGAAGGAGAATGGCATGTGTGGCTCTGGAACTTGGTGGGAGTTTGAGCAGAATTGGATGATCCAGAGAGGATTTTTTTTTTCTTTCTTTCTTTTTTTTTTTTGAGACAGAGTTTTGCTCTTGTCTCCCAGGCTAGTACAATGGCACAATCTAGGCTTACTGCAAATTCCGCCTCCCGGGTTCAAGTGATTCTCCTGCCTCAGCCTCGCAAGTAGCTGGGATTACAGGCATGCACCACCACACCCGGCTAATTTTGTATTTTTATTAGAGATGGGGTTTCTCCATGTTGGTCAGGCTGGTCTCAAACTCCCAACCTTAGGTGATCTGCCTGCCTCAGCTTCCCAAAGTGTTGGGATTACAGGTGTGCCTGGTCCATAGGGGATTTCTTGAGTGAAACAGATTCTCTATTAAAGGCAGAGAAAAAAGAATATACAATGAGAAATACCCAGCTTTCCATCCAAGAGCTTGGGCATATATATACAATTTAGCTATTGTACAAGGTCCAAGAAATTAGCTCAGAGGAAGGAGTGAATAATCCTGACCTAAGGAATGGGGAGTGCTTCCAGGAAGCACTTTTTCATTCCCCCACTCCTCCCAAGCAGTGCCTCACCTCTGCCTTGTCTAGCTATACTATGGAAAATTTAGAAATTTATGAGTGTAACACCAAGTATACCTATGGGAAGATTAGGAGTCAGAACTCGAGTGAACCAGCCCACTCCTGTGTACTTTGCACTTTTTCATTTCCCTTAGTACCAGATGCTTTCATGCTTAATCCATAGCACAGCTGTCACAGTGAGCAGCTCTGACAATGACAGCTCCTACCCCAGAGGCCACCCCAAACATGGAGCTACAGGCTCCAGCTGCAGGAGGTCCTAATGCTGGCCCTGTCCCCGCAGCTGCCATGTCCACTCAGAGACTTCGGAATGAAGACTACCATGACTACAGCTCCACTGATGTGAGCCCTGAGGAGAGCCCGTCCGAAGGCCTCAGTCGCCTCTCCTCCCCGGGCTCCTACCAGCGCTTTGGTCAAAGCAACAGCACAACGTGAGTAGCTGTTACCTTCTCCTCTCCTGGGTGGGATTCCTGTTCCTAAGTCTCGCTTGGACTTATTTTTCCTCCCCAGTTTCATCAGTCCTCCACTTTACAGATGAAGGTCAGCAATGAAGAGATTGGGCTCACGTGACTGTGCTGAGCTTTGCTTTCACCAGCTGCCACTCTCTAGCCCGTTTCTTATTCTTCGTTCCTTTCAGCTGTGTTGGCCCTACAAGGCTGGTGCCAACTAAGAGCCTGGACTTAAGAAAAAGCTTCTACAGAGGACATTCTTTTAATTTAGAACTGTGTCATCTGTGCTAGAACCCCAAATACTCTCCAGGCATAATCGGAAGCTTCCTTTGTAAAAGACTTTGCAAACGACTTCTGCCCCATCACCAAATCACTATTCATTTGACTGAAGAAGCGGGAAGAGAGAACAATTAACTTCTGCACTTAACAAATTCAGGGATTGGTAGGAAAGGAGAAGACAGGCTTTGCATTCTCCAAAGAGGGCTTATGTCTTGTCTCCAAAAAATGGAACCCCAGACTCATCTGGGCTGAGTTTGGCCCTCTTTGGGACTCACTTTCCCCAAATGTAAAGAAAAATTGAGGACTTCACTGTGAAGCTATGCTGGCTGTTTGGGGCTCACCACTTGAATTAGAAAATTCAGTTTTGCTACTCCATTGAGTTACCCAGCTATTCCTGATCTCAGCAGACCTCTGACATTTCTCTGTGTCCCAGCATCCCAGCTTTTGCCGCCCTTCTGTTTATTCCTCAAGCTTAGCTATCACCTTTTCTGTGTTTCTGTGTGGATTGAGTGTGACTTACTGAGAGATCCTTCATGTCCTAGACTTATGCCATTCCTGACGACTGCCAAGCAGACCATGGAAGCTTCTCCTGGAGCTCATCACTGGAGAAGCTCCCTCTGCCTGCACTGTCTCCTGGTACAGGGCATTTTCTCTTGTGAACTGGGTTGGAACTAGAAGATGTGGTCTGTCTACATTCCTGGCCCATCACGACCACTAGCTGATTTCTATGCCCCAGGCTGGAAGTACTCAACCAGTCCTCTAAGATTCTGTTTCTGTAGCTTATTTCTCAGGTGGTATGCTTTTGTAGATTCCTCATTAGCCTGCGGTGGGAGTTAGCTGGTGGTAGATTGCTTAGAGCATAGCTGGCAGCAGTGTGGCTTGCCCTGCCCCTCTTTCCTCCGGCCTTATCAGCATTGGCAGCCCCCATGCAGAAGCAGCTCCACACACAGCCAGTGGCATATCATGGCCTCCCGTCAGAGGTCATGCTGATTATCGTGAGATACTGCTAAGCTTCCCTCTCTGTAGTTTCCTTTGCAGTTTTTGCTCCTTTTTGATCTCAGATATCAACTTGTTAAGCAATACTTAGCAGAGGGGGTCTGGATTTTTCTTATTATGGAGACCTCTCTGAAGCTCAAAACTTAGCAACTAGCAACTTCAGGATAGTAGGTCATAGGTTTTGGACATGTGGAAGCTGATGCATGCCTATTAGCTATTCTGAATATCTCTTTTTTTTTTCTTTACATTGTGTTATAATTAATGGCCAATTCAAAATTATGTATTTGTTTCTTGGAAATCACACATCAGAAGATACCTTTCTCGGGCTTGTATTGTGACATTTTTCAGGGTGTACTTTGTTCTGAGGTTCCCTTCCTGCCCTGATATTGTGATACAATGTAGGTGACCAGGAAGGTCCATCTGTAGTTGATGGCAGGTATCACAGTCCCATCACAGGTTGTACAAGATAAAGTACTTTGAGGGGACCTAGAGTACTTCTAGCCCGGGGCATAGGATTGACACAAGCATTTATGTAGAAAACATACCAAGTATGATTAAGGTAGAGGTTGATTTGGAGAACCTTCGTAACCTAATTTAATCTTTTAATATGTATGAAGTGTTAGGGATAAGTTTTTAAGCTGGGTTCCTTTTATATTTCTGCCTTTGCTTACCCTTTGATCCAGTTTGCCAAGTAACAAAATACATGGAAGTACTTCTACGCCTACTGCACGTTTGCATGCACACACCTACCTCTTCTAGAAATCAAGGGCTCAGTAAAAAACCCTAGTTAGAGGATGCAAATAGGAATGCCAAACGCTTCCATGAATTTTTTCTTTTCTTTTCTTTTCTTTTCTTTTCTTTAGATGGGTTCTTGCTCTTTTGTCCAGGCTAGAGTGCAGTGGCACAATCATGGCTCACTGCAACCTCTGTCTCCTGGGCTGCAGTGATCCTCCCACCCACCTTAGCTTCCTGAGCAGCTGGGACTACAGGCATGCACCTGGATAATTTTTTTTTTTTTTTTTAATATAGAGACAGGGTTTTGCTATGTTGCCAGCTTGTTCTTGAACTCCTGGGCTCAAGTGATCTGCCCATCTCAGCCTCCCAAAGTGCTGGGATTATAGGTGTGAGCACCATGCCCAACCTGTGAGTTATTTCTTAGTGCGTTCAGTGAGATTATTCACTAACATTTGATCTTATCAAGCTATTGACTGCTTTGGAGACAGCCTCATTTTATGTTGTTGGGCAATTTTTTTTTTCTTGTTGCCCCTCTGAGTTCCATTATATATATCAAGCCTCTGTGCTTCTTATCCATGTCAAACTGAAACCAGCAGACTGAGACTGGCTCTCTAAAGGTGAGCTGGAGTAGTCATTTGCAAAATGTAGTCTGCAGATTTTTGGGGCTTCCAAAGACCATTTCAAGAAGTCTATGAGGCCAAAACTATCTGCATAATAATACTAAGATGTTGTCTGCCTTTTCACTTGCGGATATTTGTGCTTAGCTTTCATTAACTGCAAGTGAATTGCTTTCACTTGTAGTTAGCAAATATCCACAAGTGAAAGCAATGAGGGGTAAAATTGCACTGAAGCAATGATGGGTAAAATTGCACTGTAGAATGAATCAAGGCAGTGGCACCAAATTATACTAGTTGTCATTATATTTTTCACTGCCACGCATGCGCAAAGAAAAAAGCCCTTTGTACTTAAGACTGTCTTTAATGAAACAGCCAGAATACTAGTATTTAAAAAATTGAGACCCTTCAGCATAGGTCTTTCATATTCTCTGTGGCAAAATAGGAAGTACGGATGAAGTACTTCTGTAAGTACCAAAGTATATTACCTCAAGGCAAAGACCTTGAGTGATTGTTTGAGTTGTCAACCAAACTTGCTGCTTTTTTTTTTTCATAGAACCAGAAAAGAACAACTAACAAACTGTAGGTCAGTCAGTCAGAGTACTTGCAAGACATTTTCTTGAAAATGAAAGAAATATGCCCATCATCTCAAGGAAAACAATAGACAATACATATCTGTTGCTTAGAATAAAATTCAAGCTTTCAAGCAAAATTAGAAAAAAAAAAAACAACTATCCAGTGCCATGGGCTTGATGGCCTCTCTACTTGGAGACTTTTCTGATGAGATCAGTGGTAATATTAATGAATGTGATTTTTTTTGATAAATATATAATGAAGATGTTAGCATTTGGAAGACCTGTATAAATTCAACCAAAGTGTGATGTTAGGAATTCTGCATTGGGTAAAATATCCATTGAAAGAGCAAGATCACTGATGGATGGATGGATGGAGACAGAGTCTTGCTCTGTCACCCAGGCTGGAGTGCAGTGGCACAATCTCGGCTCACTGCAACCTCTGCCTCCCAGGTTCAAGCGATTATCCTGCCTCAGCCTCCCGAGTACCTGGGATTACAGGCATGGGCCACCACACCCAGCTAATTTGTGTATTTTTAATAGAGACGGGGTTTCACCATATTGGCCAGGCTAGTCTCAAACTCCCGACCTCAGGTGATCCGCCCTCCTTGGCCTCCCAAAATGCTGGAATTACAGATGTGAACCACTGCACCCAGACCACATTGCAGGTAACTTCTAAAAAACTATCATGTGTGGCATTTTGGAGTCATGTCAAAGAAAAATTACTGTCATTGTCTGTGGCAGCCATTAAAATATTCCTCCTTTTCCAAACACATGTCTCTGAAAAAACAATTTTTTTCATAAACTTCAAAAATAACATATCACAATAGATTCAACATAGAAGCAGGTAGTCCAGCTGTCTTCTGAGATATTAAAGAGATTTCGGGGAAAAAAGTGCTATTCTTCTAACATTTTCTTTTTTGGAAAATAGGGTCTTTTCCATTAAAAAATTATTTGTATTAACATGGAATGAACTTACTGTTATTTTTAATTAAATATTTTTTTAATTCTCATTTTTAATTTTTAATATAGTATATACCAGCAGATGTAATTGACATCTGCTGCAAAAGCTATTTGGCATCTTTAGTGATTTATCAGAGAATAAAGGGGTCCAGAGACCAAAAAGTCTAAGAATGAGTGATGGAGCATGAATGGAAGTACAGAGATTTGCTAGGCTCCTCCCTCCCCTTTTCAGAAAGATAGTCCATCCTTGTAGTTAAGACTTCACAGTTTACGGAGTTGATTTTGTGCATCTCACACAGTACTGGGTAATCCCAGCTTAGGGCCATCTATTAAATAGAGTAATTTTGGTCAATTGCCTAGAGTCCTGGTGTTTCAGAGCTGCAGGGATCATGGAGATCATTTTGTCCTAGTCCAGTTCCCTCACCTTATGGATGAGACAGCAGGCCCGGGAAGGGAGGGAAGGAATTGTCATATGAAGGTGGTGGCAGAGCTAGGGCAAGGGACCTAGTGTCCCATGATAGCCAGCTCAGAGGCATTTTGGGGAGGTCTCTGGTAGGTAGGTGGGTTTGATACAGTGCTTTGCCCTTAAGTGGATTAAACATTTGCCAAGGTAAAAATTTAATAGACCCCATTATCTTGCAGCTACAGGCTACTGATAATGCATTTGCTGGTGGACACATGTAATGCTTAAGCTGTTTCCTTAGGATATCCGGGAGAGCACTTAGCCTCTTCTCATGTGGAGGCAAAGTAGTTTTCTTGGTCTTTCTTGAAAAAGTTGGGTAAAGTAGGAAAATCACCAGATTTTTTCCCTCAAGGTAAAAGGAGAAAGGTTAAAGTGAAATTCTTTTCCAGAGAGTGTAGATGGGTCTTATTAATGGCCTCTATGAGTAACAAGTGTTATTTACTTTGAGCTTCTGGTGAATTGCAGATCTGAAGAAATGTGTGTAAATACCAGTTTTGAGGGATTTAGGTTATATGTGCAGTAGAACCACAGACAGTACCACGGGCCAAATTCTGAGTGATTTGGGACAGAGTGAAACTATATTTGACCTGTTTCCTGTTTTCCTGGAGGTAACAGTAGATAGAAATTGAAGACGAGACCACCCTTCTGTAGTCAGTCTTTTGATTAGCTCCTATTCCCTGCAGAAAAAAGAGAAACTTCCTGCCTCCACCCTCACCCTCATCCTAACTCTAATAACGAACGGCTAAACCCAACTACTACTCCTGATTCCGGTCCCAGGTCTCTCTCTAGGGTGTTGTTCCAAAGCCCTTCTCTTTGCCAGTGGTGTCTTTTTCCCCAGAAGCACATTTATAGTTCCTGCCTGTCCTGCTGGGCTCAGCTCAGCTCTTTCTTCTGCATAAAGCCTCACCTGCCTCCCTTCTCCCTGGTCTCTGTTCTTGGGTTTTTCTTAAAGACAAGAATCTATCTACCTTTGGTGGTTATTAATGTGTTCCCTTATTTTCCTTGAAACATTATTAATTTCTAGAGGCTGAGAACCATAGCAGATTCATACTTATTTTCACCACTGCAGTTAACACAGTGCTTTATATGTGATAGACAGCATTTGTTGAGTGAAAAAATGAATGAGGAAGCATGAGAGGCTTTACCATTGTGGCGTGAAGGGGACAGTTTGTACAAATCTGCCCTCACAGTAGAAGGGTAAATGAAGTGACTCTCTGAAAGGGCTTCTCTGATCTTAGGACACTATGGCATTAGACTTTTTTTGTTTTTGATACAAAGTGTATGTATTGTGTGACTTCTGCATTCGGGGCTTCTATTTTTTTGTTGTTTTTTAATTTCCTCTGTTCTGTCACCAGTGTTTGTCCATCATAGTTTGGGTTGTCATCCTCTATTGCAGTTTTGGGGTCTGTGTTTTTTTTTTTTTTTTTTTTTTTTTTTTTT